CTTACACAAGTCCAGTGTTACCGTATTTTCCAGTATTGGTAGGGGGTTTCCTTTCTAATTATATGTGTGAAGAAGTGTGGAACTCTAACATCTTGACATTTCTCTTTCAATTAAAAGTGCTTATCTTTTTTTCTTGTTGTTCTTCTTGAAAATCCTCTGTTGATGTGGTTTTTCTTATTTGGTAGAGTTCAACTACATTAAAAGGAAATATTTCATTCTTCAAATGCCTGTATTCAAGAAATAAATGCGAGAAATATTTTAACGTGAGTAAGTGTGATCATGAATGTTCAGTTATATTTCACATACAGAATTGGTTAATCTGATTACAGTATGTAATGGAGTAAAAGAATCATTTTACTTTGCAAATATTCAAATTCCATAAACACTTCTCGCCTGAGTCAATCTTTCATGTCTACAAATCTACCATTCGTCCTTGGATTGAATACTGTTGTCATATATGGTCTGGCCCCCACACTGTTCATCTCGAGGTTCTAGCAAAATACAGAAACGGAGAGATCCTTATCTAGCACCTCGTCTACAGCCACTTTCTCACAGATGTGCTGTGGCTTCCCCCTGTTTTTTCTACAAATATTTTCATAGCAACTCCGACAAATATTTTCATGTCTGTCTACTTTCACTGGTGCCCCATCTGCATGAATTTAAGCGTTCTCCTTGGCTGGCATTTCGGTCCCAACTTTTCACTCTCGAAACAGTTAAATGCAGCCGCCTCTTCTATTCCAACAGATTCTTTTCTCTTACTTCCCGACAGTGGAACTCCCTCACTCCTACTTGCTTCCCTGATAGCTACAATCTTTGAATACTCAAATGTAATGTCAATCGACACATTCTGATGTTGTGATCCTTATCCCCGACCATCTCTATATTCTTTTCTCAAAAACCCCTCTTTACTCTTGATCTCACTCTCTGTAACCCCTTGAGCGCTTGTGACACTCCCGTTGCACAGAGTGTAATGCTTTAAAAGACAGAAAAAAAGTAACGTTATCTTTAGAAAATGCTTGAAAATAATTAACACTTCCCCTACTAACTACGGAGATGTTCGTTTATCTTATCTTGCTCCAGCTGGCTAAGTACGGAAACCTACGTCTTTTGCTGGTATGAGTGTCCCGTTGCGCCATCTATCGTCAAATCACAAAGCACAATGCTTCAAAAGATATCATGTGTATACCCATTATTGATCTGTTAAGTCATTCCCAGGTATAGCCATGAAAATGGAAGGCTGTAAAACACACTGGTGCCAGTTTTCTGTGTAATAAAATATGTAGGTTGAAATTTGGCATTTTCTTTAAAAAATGGCTGGCCGGATGGGGGCAGTACTGGGCAAATGAGTAGCAGTGAAAGTGTTAAGAATGTAGCATAAATATAGTTTTGATATATATATATATTTTAATCTCCTAAACTAATTAATGTATCCTGTTGAAATAGGGTTCTTTATACGTGTGGTTTTTCTATATCGTCAAATATATCAAATAAAAAATGAGTCTCTTTTTAATGCGGTATTAAGAAATATATTTTTCAATAGGTGCCTGTAATTTCATTTATGAAGAAATTTATTTGCGTCGCGAATTCAGCAGGAAATAATAAAGAAAGGACGAAAAAAAAAACAATGTTTTAAAAATAATATAATATAATATGTTTTTTAAAATTGGAATTATCTAGCGATTATAAGGAATATATTCAGGAAAGGAATTCCTTTGCAATAAAGGTGCCAGATTAGGCTGAAAACTGATGGTTAGAGCCGAGAAAATCTTAAAATGAATTCAGTAGAGACCATTAACAATTATATGGATGAGATAAAAGTCTTGGGTATGCTTTCAAAGACAGTAGTATATTGACACGTCTTTAACGTTTACCGGTTCGGATAATGCAACAGGTGAGTCGAGTACAAGTTCCGACCGGCTCCTATGAGAACACTTTTACATTAATATCCTTAAGAAAGGCAATCTATTCTCGCCCCTAACGATTAGGTAATTATTACTTTAGACAGGTTCTCCAGACTTGGCTGGCAACCAGTTTAAGAAATAGACGTCTATGACTTCCTAACAGTGGTTAGAACATAGGGACACGAGGCCATTATCTTTCACAAGATGTTATGGCAGTTCAGAGAAGAATCCCAGCAGATTATGATTAAAAATTTCATAAAACTTCAACTTTGAATTCTCGGCTGTATAACCTCTAACGTGAATATTTTTGTTATACTAATAGATATTAAAATACTAGAATTCCTGTCTCATATCCCTAATAATTCTTATCAACACTCAATTTGTTCCTCATCTTTTCTTCTTTCTTTTATTAAACATCACAACTCTTGGCAATTCGAATCAAACTTTTCTCTTGTTTACGTCGACTATGTGAAATTAAGCGCCGTACTTGATTTTCACCATCTTCTCATCATTTTGCAGTTGGAATTTTTAGATGTAACCGTAAGTTCTATGCTAACAGTTTCTTCTCTTGCAATTCTTGCTTATGCATCCTTCTTCCAGTTTCTTGGTTTCGGTTCGATTTTGAACACAAATTCTTTTTAAATGCAATGTCAATCTGTATGTTCTGTTTTCTAAAAATTATATTTCCCGGATTCTTTCGCAAAGTGTGTCTTAGTTGTTTTATCGGCTCACATGGGATGAAATAAAACAAAATTTATAAAAAAAATATTAGCGAATATTTTTTGTTTAAAAAGTTATTAAACAAAGTCTCATGAAAACACTATTTTTATGGAGCGATACACTTAATTGCGAGATATTTACAGTATTTACATTATTCGGACTATTGTCCTCATCTTTGTGTCATATTTATAACAACATTCCAGCTGTTGTACGCTCCAGCCTCAAGGACACATGGCACTGGATAAAGCCGTTGGTTAGATCCAGTGACATGATCCAAAGAGTGTGAGTTCAATACCTGGTTATGGCTGTGGAGAACTTGGAGAGGAGAATTAACAGGAGATAACTGACGACATCCATTAGACATAGTACGTGGAACTAGAACAGTCTATCGCAGTGAGCGAAATAAAGGGTTTAGTTTGACATTCCAACCACCCGAAGAAAACCGAAGCGTACAACGGCCGAAACGTTGTGATAAATATGGTGACAAAGATGAGGACAACAGTTCGAATAATGTAAATCTTTATACATGATACCTCATCTCAGTTATATAGACAGATACTGTGAGATATTTATACGGTGGAATTTTGTATTTGCAGCACTATAACCTTATTCTGCGTCTCGACTACCATAGGAAAACGATTGTTTTTATGACAAAAAACAACAGTTTTAACTATCGTCTTTTCTATGGAAAAAGAAACTTTTCTTCCTGTATTTACGAACAGGCAACTTGATGTGCCCGTTGTACTGGTTGCCACTCAAGGCAAAAGAATCCAGTCTTCACAAGTATTTAATCAAAAAGAAAATGTATTCATTACTTTAAAAGTCCTTCCCCGGCGCAGATGTGTTTATACGTTTACCCCGAAATTGTCTTCTGACACGGATGAATAAACACGTCCAAATCATACCTTTCGAAAACCAGATACAGACGGGTTTATACGTCGATCTTGATTCTCTTTATGCCAACTCATATGTCTGTTAGAGGTGTTAGCCACCGCTTGGGTACTACGAGGTACCTCAGTTTCTTATTTAATATATTAAAAACAAATAAAAATTGTCTGAAAATTATTATTTCGAAGTAAACTAAACAGACATGATCAAAATTTTCATTCAACGCAACGATTCCAGTTTTTGCGTCGATAACGATAAGGCTACAGGCACACATATTTTTTAAACGATACTTATAACGAAAATTTTGTTTTAGCTGCAGTTACCAAAAAAATATTCTGTCAGTTACTAGTAGATTATTTTTTCTGTCCAAATATGAAAAACTGCTATAGATTGAGGTAATGTTTTCTACGTTTTCGATCGTTTACAAAATATATTTGCGAACGTCTACGGCTATAATGTTCAAAAGGAAATACTGTTTATTTTTGTATCAGCGGAAATAAAAATAATAATAATAAAGGACATTCATGAATTAAACTGGTTCCGTCGGTAAAATGGGAATTTAAAAAAAAAATAATTTCTCTCAATTAGCATTCATTAATTCTTCGTGTAACCACGGCATTTGAATGAATCGATAATATCGATTTTTCCATCATTTCGGAAGTGCAGTCCTCATAATATAAATAGGGTATCAAAACAATGACTGAATTCGAGGAGAAAGATCCTTAATCTGAAATTGGGATTAAATGCGAACATTATGATCAATGGCGTAAACAGTTTCAAAATGTATTTGTATTATGTACAAAAGCCTCTTCAAAATTACAAATGAATAAACATTTCTATATATTGCAACATGTTGTTAACAAAGACAGTGCCTTGGATACTAACCAGGAAAAATAGTAAAAAAAAAAAAAAAAAAAAAAACAATTATTGACGACAGAACCAGTTTCTCCCATTAATGTCAGAAAAAATTTTACACGCATATCATTGTACATTTCTTCATCTGCTGAAACTTAATAAATATGTATAAACGATATATTCCACTTGAACAAGAAATAAGAGCTGGTATAAACTTCAAAGACTTTTCGAGTATTTATCTAAAACTATGTAAAGGGTTATCTATCTATCTATCTATTTATTGATAGTGTTCTGGATTCCGAGAGGAAATCCCGTCTCAAATGAATGACAAACGCAGGAATGAAATATAGCAAATAAATGTATTAACGTAATAATACAATTGGTAATACGGTTATGCAGAAATGCGGTTAGTAGCAATAATAATATATATATATACAGTCTGGGAAATTCAGTATCGAAGTATGACTTCCTTCTGAGTCTACGTGCTCGCAACTGTGACTCCTATCTCACACTCTCACTGTCACTCTCTCACTGTCACGGTCACTCTCTCACTGTATCACTTCCACTCCAGGGTATTCACCGGCAGCAGTACAAGTACACACTGGGCGAGTCCACTTGTATGAAAAAGGGGTGGACCCCATAACAGATAGATAGATAGATAGATAGATAGATAGATAGATAGATAGATATGGTTTTCTCCCAT